ATTCTCCTACTATCACAAATACAAGTTACATTACATTCTGAGAATGAATCTTTCAGTTTCGATGTATGATACATTTCCTTGCACATTTGGAGTTATGAAAAACTTTTACCTAATCTTTGTTTCACTCGTAATAAAATTCTCTTATGAGCCGTTGACCTCAGGGCTCAACGTACGTTTAACATCGACCCTATCTCACATGTCCTCATCCTCTCAACCAACTTTCAGTGTCAAAACACCCTTCGAAACCATGTTTTATGAAGTTGTGAACATTTTCAAAAAAATGTCATTTGACCTTTCACATTTGACCTGCGACAGACATACACACAAACGAATTTCGATTTTTTGACCACTTTTCTCGACATGACCCTCCTTTCAGTCGAGGGAATTAGTTGTGAAAAACAAGTCATTTATGATAAATATGTACATCGATTTCGAATGAATCATCACTAATACGAAGAGGAACAACAACAATATCCTTTTTTTTACATTTTATCTCTGCAAGTGTCAACTTACTTTTCGCGTATTATTATTGTGCTGAAAAGATGAAACGTAAATATTTCAACAATGAAGATGAAAGATTGTGTGATAGAAAAATTCGCATGAATTCATCAGATATTCAATGAACCAAAAATAGTTCAGAGAGACCAATAATTATGTTCCATTATTGTCGAAAACGAATTGTTGTAAACAATGGATTGAATTAATCAAATCAGAAATCGATGTATATCAAGTTGAAACCCAACGATTTTTTCCTGCGAATTCATGTTTGACGTTAAAGAGCTAAAGTTCGTGAATAGTATAGAGGCAAGACGAATTTCTTTCACATCATGTAGAAATACCTTTGACAAAGTCGGGATGAGAACAGCAAATAAAAATTGTTTTGGTCGCTAAAACTTTAACACGCAACTCTCAATTTTAACATGATACTGCGAAAAAAATATAATTTCATTCGTTTCACCTGAGCCATTTCCAACTCTGATACGCTTTGGTTACATATTGAATTTTTCGTTTTAAAATTCGTCAATGTCAATATTTATTGTGCAATGACATTGTATGTCTTCGAAAATGAAACAAATGATATGTCTCAGACGTTTTTTCTGTCTTTTCTGTTATTTTTTATCATAAAAATATCGACATTTCGCCTCGTTGTCATGTCATATTATGTTTCTATTTGCTTTATAAATGATGTTTTAGTTGGAGAAAAAAATTCACAAATGTCGTTCTCATTCGAAATCAATCATCGACTTTTGGAAGATATTCGCAGTGAATCAAAACAAATACTTGAATCAATCACTGATTATGAACAAGAACAATTAGTATCTCTCGAACAGGCTTGTCAACCACTGAAAGATATTCTTGGTAATGAACTTCAATTATACATTACAGTCGCTAAACTTAATTCGAAAGAACCTAAAAATGGACTTTCTCCAGACGAATCAGCTTCGATTTATTTATATACAATGGAATGGAGTTCACGAGAAAATAGTCTTTATGTTCTTTTCAATTACGCACTCCGCACATCTGACAGAAGTCAGTTGCGACCATGGTTCCAATACATGAAATTATTCTTTACAGCCTTCTATAAATTACCGTAAGCATTTGTTCTAATCAAGTTCGGTCGATTCATATGCAGCTCATTGTAGATCTATCGAGAATCAAACGGTCTGGCATGGAATTTCGGAAGATCTCAGTAAATACTATCGAGAAGGCGAAGAATTAACATGGTGGTCATTAATTTCCACGACTTCTTCATTCGATGTTCTTCAGTCTTCTATGTATTTGGGTAGAGTTCCTACACAAACCGTATTTGCAATTGAAACAAACAATGGAAAACTTATTCGTGCACATTCACATTTGCAAAATGACGATGAAATTCTTCTACCACCTGGAATTCGTCTCATAGTAACAAGAATTTCCAATCAAAGTAATGGAATTCATATAATTTATTTACGTGATATCAATCTATCTTCTTCAAAACAAATCGTATCTCAATTTGCTCGACCACAAGGAGCTTCTATAGTTGATATTCAGCGTTTGCTAAACCAACTTGACATATTATGTCCCAATGGTAAACCAATCAATCTAGTGGCAAGGGTCGATGGATGCAACATTCCTACATATATTACTGAATTGTTTCATTTTTATGGCTTAACTGTAAGTTGGATAAACGATTACGATCAAAGCTTTAAAATGTTAACTATGTTTCAAATGGCCCAGAATCCTGAACAGATTGCAAAAGCAAATTGGGAACAAATTAAACAAATGTTCATCGCTATTAATTGGTCCGGAAGATTTTCATACTATACTACTTGGGCTTTGGCGATCGAACGTGGCTATATACGATTAATTCTACTTCGAATGAAAGAACTCGCTGAACAAGAAACTTTATAAATGACAAATATTTATTGAAGTTAAATACTTTTAACACAAGCAGAAAGCGTCACTTGAAGCATTTTCCGATTAAAATATGAAAAGTATAGATTGAACTTTATTTTATATATGTACTAATCACTGATATGATATTAGGTGAACGTAATTAATTAAAAATTTGCTGTTGATTCAAATAGTAAATGGATGTTATGACACTGAGAAAGATAAAAAAATTCGTTAACTAAACCAGATATAGAATTTGCCAGACGTAGATAGAAACATTTTCCTAATACGTTAGCATATTCACAACTATCTTTGTTTCCAACAGATCTTTTCAGATTAAGCTAATATTATTCTGAATAGAGAAAGGAATAACTATCCCATCTGTCACATATCTATAGGTGATATTGATGTTGTTGTTGACATTAAAGTAAAAGTCGAGCTGGTAGTTGTGCTTGTAGTGAGTTCTTCTGTTGAATAAATAAATGTAAAGATGAAATGGAAGAAGTAACGAGTTATAATTAAAAATTGTTTTCCCTATTTGTCTAAGACACTTCTGATTTTTCGAATATTATCAGAATTTGAAAGACGTTTTCCGAACTGTTCTAGTGCCCGTTTATTATATTTCTACTAATATATCTTGAAATAATAAGGATTTGTAGAATCTATCATATACATTCATACTTCCGAGGTGACTTTGAATGATAAAAATGGCATGTTCGACAATTTTTTATGATATGTTACATTCATTCTTAGAAGGTAATGTTCGTGTTTCAAAAATAACAATCATAGCGACGGTATTCGTGCTAATATCCATAGCATTGTTTCGATTGATCACGTTATGAAATAATTGACAAGTGGAAGTTGACTGGACGAAAAACAGTAACTTTACATTGCATTTATTGTAAGCATGATTTTTGGCACGGAAGAATATTTAATCCTGTAAGAGTAGCAAAGGGTAAACAAGTTGTTGAAACACATTGAAATTACCATTCATTCATAAGAGGCATCATGATTGTTTCTGTATTTTTCGCAACTAACTGTTCAAAAATCACAATTAAAAAAAATACGAATAGTCTTCTCCAATTTATAACTATAGTTAGAATGAAACTGAAAATAACTGCCTATCAATGAATGTCTTTTTTTTATTTCTTTTTCTTTTCTTTATCTTAATTTCTATACGAATCTTATTTTCATCTTGCTAAAATTTTCACAAAGATCATATTTATAGATCAGTGTGAAGCTAGCACGAAGGAGCTACCACGAAGAAACTGTGTGTAAGCTAAAAACTTTTTTCCAAAGTTTGTCCGGTGAATAAAAGTGCCACCATTCGATGCAGAATTAAATTCTGAGTCGAATCGTGTAGTTTTCATGGGCGGGACATATTTAGTAAAAACGTTTTTAGCTAACACATCGTTTGTTCGTGCTAGCTTCACACTGATATATTATACATGAGATGGAAGAAAAGAAACATTGTTTGCTTAATAAAACCATTTTATGAAACAATTCTCGATCAATTTCAAAACATTCATCGAATTAAAAAAGATGTTCTTCATACAAATATTTGGTTTACAACATGGATTCAAATTGAATTTGCAGGATGTAAGGATAAGAGTATAGGTGAGGAGAATTAACTACACCCTCGAAATAGTATTAGTAATTATTAAACAAGTTCAGAATTGTATAAACCATAAGAAACACTTTTACCAAAATGACTTAGGCGGAAAAAAATCAAAAGATATTTATCTTTAATTCGTATTTCTTAATGAAGAAATTAATTATTAACATTCTTATTACAATTCGACAAAGATAATTAAAAGCTTAAAATAAATATATTCAAATATTTAGTGAGTTTTTTTTTCTTAAAATCATTAATTAGTTCGTTTGTAAAGATATGATATAAAGTGTTATCAAAAATAAAAGCATACGGAATAGAAAAAAACGAAATTGTGTTTGTAAGATATTTTCTCCTGACTTTGTTTTTGGGTAATTGTATATATCTTTTAGCAAAAGAGAAAAACCAGTAAGGACGAGTATTTTCTTTTCCGCTATGATATATGTTTTAGTCTTGTTATATCAAAAAAGATAAGGACGTTTCTTATGATATATCTAACATGGATATCCATCATAAGTGATGAAAGCAAACGCTATAATTTCTATATATACTCGAACACACAAAATGGAAGAACAGTGTAAGATTTCTTCATATTATTTACCATGATGAAAGCAACATTAAGTATAACTCTCGTATTTTTACTGAATCTGATTGCTTTACACCAAATCTTCGCCATGCCCGTCAATGATTGGGAAGAAGATGAATTCACAACAGATTCTATTGTTTTTACAGATTCCACCAGGTATATATCTGTTCTTCTTTCGATAGATCAATTAAATCAGATAAACACTCTTCCATAGTACCGAGGAAGAAAATGTATCGAATATTACAATCGATGCAAATGGAACTAATATGACTGATATAGATATAACAACGGTTTCATCTGTTGACAACATTACTGAAACTAATAATTCAAGTGAAGGCAATACATATGGTAGGTTTATCAAAGATATCATTTGAACCTGTTTGGCTTTGAAATCACTTGTTTTATTTTCTAATAGAGATCACAACACCAATATCAAATCAACCAGAATCGAGTGATAGAGTTAGATTTCAAGTTGTTATCAACCCGGCAACACTTGAAGTACAACGTGGGCAAACTTATGAACTTATCTGTAGTGTTTATGGTGCTGATGCAAGTACACATGTTTATTGGATTCAAGAAGAACCAGAACGAGTAAAGTCTTTTTACATGTATTCATATAATCGTATATTGACAGCGAAAGATGTTGCATGTGTTCCAAGTGAGCTTTTCTCGTTTCTCGCTTTGAAAAAATGTTTCACAGTGTACTCAACCTATTCATTTCAACAGAAGTAATCCATAATGCAATGTTTAATACATCATCTGACAATAGAAAAACATGTTTGTTTTCATTACTTTAGCGTTATGCTCTTACCGATACAAATGATAAACATGTCACAGGATCTCAGGTATTATCGCGAGCACGTATTACTCTGGATGATCCGAGTAAAATTGGAAAATATACATGTATGGCGCAAAATGCAGAAGGAAGTAGCGATTCAGCTCTTCTTACAATGCATGAACAAACTAATTTTCACTACGATTATCCAAAACCAGAAAGCACACCAGATGGTAAGTTTTAAGAAACAATAGATAAATGTAACTTGATTTAACTTTTTCTTCCCTAGTGTATCGTGCTGCGCAAGATTTAAGAATAACTGCACCGGAGGTAGCTGATGGAGATTACGTGAAAATTCAATGTGAAAATGCAGCATCGGAAGATGAAGGAAAAATTCAGTGGTATTTTAATAATCGAGTATGTATATACATTTGCATTGAAACAAACTTTTCTTTCATTTACAAAATTGACTATTAAGCTTCTTCATGATGAGGATCCACTTTATCCACGTGGAAAAACTCTTCATATTCGTCCTATTTCAAGATCGTACTTGGGAAACTATCGTTGTTCAATTCCTGAATCGAACTATAGAGATGCAAATAGTATCATTGAATTTCGAGGTAAATATGCTCATAATGAAACGAATCCTAGTGCTATTATTTGTTTTGAAGGACAACCATCACATCATGACATTCAGCCAGTATTTCATCCATCAACTCCATTATCCATTGAAGAAGGTACCAATCAATTGATTCAAGCGCCTGCTGGCTATTATCGTGCGTATTGGACACGTCAAAATAATCAGAATCTACCATCAGATATTTATCAACGAGGTAATGATTTACAAATTACGAACGCGCGTTCGGATCATTCAGGAACTTATTATTGTGAATTATACAATGTTGATGGTACACGTACGACTATTCCTTATGAAATTCATATTCAACGTAGTTATACACATCATTCATTCGATAGTAAGTAGGATTAGAAGAAAGAAAATTTTCGTTTCTTTATCTCTTTTAGATCATCTACCAAAAATAACTATTCGTCCACAATCTATTAATTTAAAAGAAAGTCAACGTATGNAGAATTATATCTATTGAATACGAATTCTCCAACAGCTGCAGATATCACATTCGCATCATTGGCATATCCAATGATATTTCCACGACAATGTGATGATTTAGTTTTCGAATATGATCAAAATCGAATGAGCCGAGAATTATACGATCAAATTACCACTTATCGTTCGCAACGTGCAGGAAAATTTGTTCTACGAATGTATGAACAACATCGAATTACTGATCAAGTTCAACCAATGCGTTAGACTTGTTCTTTCTATTTAACATTGCGTGGGGGTTGCTTGAATGAAAAGTGTGTGAATAGTTGTATTCAATTCTTTTGCATCATTTTCTCACCTTTATGAATTAATTATTTAATTTTAGACATGCATCCTTTTTCAAATCCACCCGTTATAATAAATTCGAAATGAAATAAATACTTTGAAAAACAAATGTATTTCTCAAAATAAAACAATACAATTATTGTAATGATCAAGGACATGAGAATATTCATTCTAGACGTTCGTTTGAGTCGAATCGATAACAAACTCAAGGTGAATATTCTAATTGGCAACTAAAAACATCAAATACGATTTGAATAGTGGAAGGAAAAGAAAACCAATTTGTTACCTGGCGCAAAAATTTGACAGTAATCTCCTTGAAAATCTGGAGCACATAGGCATACTGGTCTATTGTTATTCATCGTGCAGAGACCGCCATTTATGCAAAAATACGAGCTGCAATCGCCTGAAATCCAGATATTATTTAGTAAATTAAACAAATATCGTTCTTTATACGTACGAGTTCGAAAGGCTTCACAATTGTTTCCTGTGTAGTCTGTTGAACATAAACAATAAGCTATTCCATAGGTTGTAGAATAACATCTATAATCATGAATTCATCAAAGAAACGTCTTGTCAATGTTCGATCCGTAGAACTTACGATCCTCCGTTGAGACAAATATGAGATGAGCATGGATCAGCTGAATTAGCGAACGTGAGACAGTCATTGTTTCGTTTTGTACTTACGCATGCGTTCTTCGCAATATTTTCCGGTGTAAAATGGATCACACGAACATATACGACCAATCATCGGTTCACTTTGACAAAATCCATGATTTCCACAATATTCAGCAGTACATACTGTCGACAACTCTTTTCCAAAAGACAAAGTTTGTCGTTTAACGAAAGTTGAAATGAGCTTAGATTACCACACGTTTTGCCGGTAAAATTACTTGAGCATACACATTGAAAATCTTTATTACCAACTAATGGACGACAGTAGCCATTATTTCGACAAGGATTTGAATCACAAACATCTTAAGAGAATTTTAATAATATGGAAATACATCGTCTTTACTTTTTTTCACAATTGTTTGTCCAACAATTTGGTTTTCACACAAGGCTCCATTAAAACCGGATGAACAATGACAATGGAAAAGATTGTTTTCGAGAGCAATACATTTGCCCGCATTACATAGTCCTGGTTTTGATATACATGGATGTGCCTCTAAAATTCCCTCGCTTTCTTAATTTCGTAAGAAAAAGAAAAGTCGACTAGACTTACGTTCACAAAATCTTCCCCAATAACCGTTGGCACATTGACATGCATGGATATTGTGATGTTCATGCTCACAATAGCCTCCATTTTGACACGGATTTACTTCACAGTCTCCTCTAGGAACATCGGGATTTTCTAAATATTAAATAAATTATCCGTTTTATTTAACAAAAGATAATATTTGATTGAACAGCTTACGTGGTACGAGTAATTGGTCACACTTTTTACCACCGACTGGTAAATCATCTGGACATTTACATGTGTAATCAAATGTATCGACAACAGTACAAGTCGCATTGTTAGCACAGGGAAGTGGAAAACATCCTGCGAGAGAATAATTCAACATTTATGCAACAAACAAATGTTTTCATTTGAAATATCTCAAATTCGTCATTTACATACCGTTTCTTCCTTCCGATGAACGACTGAAACACGCGAGTAACGCGCAGATAAATATGAAAACCATCAGGAGAAATTTATTTTACGTATCGAAAACTGAATACATCATTTGTATTTTGATCAAATTTATACAATTTAGTATTGCATTAAATCCCTGCCAATCTTTTATGTTTGCTGAGAGAAATCAAGATTTTATTGACTAATACATAAAATGAAATATCAAAGTCCAGTCAATTGAATCATTTTTTTAAGCTCTACGTTATTTCATAGACAATAAGTGCACGCGTAAGAATATTATATTGGATAGAGGGTCTTAGACAGGAATCAAAAGAAATTGAAATGTGCTACCAGGTCTAGAAATAACTTAACCTCTCTTTGAAATACATCGAGTACTTTTTTATTCGAAGTTTTGTATCCGAACCGTACGATGAAGTGATGATTATTGGAACTTTCACAGCAAATAATTGAAACGGAATTTAGATAAGAAATCTCTAAAGACGAAATCAGAGGTGTCCCGAGCATTCAAAGATTGGGATGGGGGGCGTATGCTAAAATATCATACATAAAGTACATAGCTTAATTTTCCTGAGGAAATCTACTATCTAAATTTCTGTTCGAGCATTTTTTTTCAAAAACCATAGAGACCAGTTCCGTTCGTAATTCATTCGAGTTAATATAAGAAAAACTACAAATTTCACATAAGTTTTACTCTTCTGTTTTTTAAATGGGACCATTCTTCAACAAAATCTGACAAATCAGCAATCTCTAACAAATCTCTTTCTGCTGAAGAAATTATCAACCATTCCATTTCGTCAGGCATATTAAATGATCAAATTGCACAATTATTTATAAGAGTATTTAAAATCGATTCGCTGTGGAAACCGTACTTTTTTAGGAGCTTTGATCTATTAAAATATATGTCTAATCTCATTGAATAATGCTGATATTAATTGGTATTTTGTAATCTAGATAGATGTTTACCAAAGGTTTACCACCATCGATCAAACCATCATGTGATTTCAGAGATAATCATTTCTACTGTATCCAAAACAGCTGATTTTTTGTCTCCAATATAAAATATTATCAAACACTGATGAGATGTTATGTAACATAATAAAAATAAATTTTCCGAAAGACGTTCTAAATAGATCGGCATTTTAGTTGGGATGCAACGATATTATTCAGACTTTCATTTTTTAAAACAATAACGGAATCAAACACGAGTATTTAATAAAACGATATGGGTTTATCAATTTAAAAACTCAATAGAAAAGAATATCTGTTGACTATTGATTGATAGTTAACTGTAAAAAAAATAACAAGCTCGAGATCGTATCATACTCAACATAAATTCTTAAATATTTGGTCAATGTGATTATAAGTACAATGTTTCAATTGGTGAATCGTTGTTGTGTGACGTACTTCGTGCTCAAATACGTACTAATTCTTTCAAACAGAATCAACAATTTCGTTGTCTTGAATGCTTCGGTCAACAAAGAAAATATTCTCCCTATGAACTTCTTTAACATTTATTAACAGCAACAAAAACATTTTATAATAATTAAAGATATTTCACCAATTCATCCAAAGAGTACAATAGACGAAGTATCTTGCTCAATAGGAAAAATAGAATTAGTTCATTGTTTGTTACAGAGCGGAGTACTTAAGACTTCGAACAAATCTAAAAAATGACCATTATGTCCAAAAATATTGAAAAAAATACACGACAATTACATTGTTCGAACATTTCAATGAAAATCATAAAGAATCCAAAGACATGAAAATTCAATGCTATAATCAGATTACTTATAATGATATAGATGAATTTTCTGAACATATACAATAAAAATATGTAGATTGTTTTAGTTTACAAGTGTATTAGAATAGTTATCTTTTCGTTCTACAATATACTTTTCCTTCCAATAATTTAATATATGAATATATTGCATCCTCGCTCACATCCTTCTGAAACGAAAAAAGAGCCAACAACGAAATGTGCACGTTGATACTGTGCGACCTGTTTGCATATTTGCTCCATTCTTATCTTGTCAGAGACGTATATTCGTGGTAGCAAAATCGGCCCATTTTTGTCTTACTTTTTTCGCATAGCGATAAAACAGAAAGAGTAGGTGGTATATAATAAAAAGCAGGGTCATAGTCAAAGATAAAAAACAACGAATATTATTTTCATGCAGTTATCTTTGAATATATAAAAGTGTTCGATATATTTTACTTGTCATATTGAAATCACATTTCGCAATAGATCTACGAATAACCATAAATATACGTCAACAGCTGCTACCATATAACTATGAGTGCGTCATCGTGGCTTCTAGAGTCAAGCAGTCAAATTTCTGCACTTTTCCATTGTGACAACTGTGGAAATATGATCGATAGTATCAGTTGGAAACAATGCGATAAATGCAAGAACTTTGATTTATGCAGAAAATGTGGAAAGTTAACGGAGAATCAGTTAAAATATGATACTGGATCGAAGCATAAATCATTTCATCCCAATGATGATCCAGTTAGTAGTAAAAACATGTCATTGGTAATGGTCGGAAATGCTGAGAAAGAACTGGATAATAATATTGATACAATAAACGAAGGGCACTTCACAATGATAATGAAACGGGAACGAATTCAAAATGATTGGCAGATGGCTATTGTTATGGATGCATTACATAGAGAAAACAAGTCATCACCGCCATCATTTTTATCATCATTATCATCAGACGAACGGTCTAAATTAAATTCAATGATGATAGAATATAATGTACCAAAAGACGAAAACACTGTACGTGTATTGAGCTTAGATGGTGGAGGTAAGATAAACAACTTTCTTCGGGCCTAAATGTTTGTTCTTGCATTGCTCTTTGTTTACAGGCGTGCGTGGCTACATGTCCATTAAAATTCTCGAGCAGCTCATAAAAGATAATTATCTTCCTAACATTGATCCTAAGGATAAAGAATACAAGGAAGAATTTAAAAATGGTCAACACAAGTTTACGAAGCAATTCGATTACTTCGCTGGTACAAGTACAGGTGGACTCATTGCTTTCTGTTTGGCTACCGAACATCCTCTGTTGGAGATTAAGGAGATATATGCAAACTCCTCAGATTATTTCAAAAAAAATTGGACACCTTGGATGCTCGGTACGTTGGGAAATGTCATGACTGCCAAATATAATGATCAGAAGATACACGACGCCATTGATAACATAATTAAGGAGAGATTTAAAAATATGCCCAATGGAGAAGTAACATTAACAGCTGCAAATGCAACTTTACATGATTTACATAAATTGTTGAATCCCAATGAAGGTACGACAACAGTTCATGACACTAATAGAAAAGTATTACTTATTAATGCTTACAATATAACGACAAGTTGCATTACTGTATTTAATACAAGTTGTAAAGAACATTGGGGATATCTTGTAGGAGATGTACTAAAAGCCACAATGGCTGCTCCTACTTACTTTCGACCGTGGCATATGTGTGAATGGGAAAAGAAAGAAGATGGTAATTTTGGTAAGAAAAAAGATGCTAATGGAAAAGATGTTGAAGATCACATTTTTATTGACGGTGGTGTGTTTGCCAACGATCCAGAATTAACAGCGATATGGTCAATACGAATGCATCTAGCACGATTGGTTAATTATCGTATACTTTCTATTGGCACAGGATGTTATAGTCCACAATTAGATTCAAATAGTTGGGGTGGTTATTGGACATGGGTGGCCAACTTGTTTAAACCAGGATTGGTGGTCAATACATTAATGGATGCTACGCGTAGTTTAACCGAAACCGTTGTGAACGATTTAGCCAAATTCAATAATATCAGACGAATGAAATTTAATTACAAGTTAAAAATATCTATGGAATTAGATGATCCGAAATTTCCGGCAATGTTTGACGATGAATGGGAGAAGTTTGTTAACTCGTCAGGAAAGAAATTGACAAATATATCAGAAGATGGATCGAGAGGTCTGTCAACAGACAAATCGAAATATGGATTGATGTACGGACCCGATTATAAAGCATTACTTCACTTTTATGAAAGACACATAAAGCGCGAACAATAGATCGGTATGAAACAAAATTAGACGAATGACGAAGCGTTGTAGACTATCTTTTCGTTACATTTTATTATAACTTAAATTTGTCTGATAGATAGATTTATCAATATAATTTATTTAACTATTGAAAAAGAAGGAAATTTTTACTCTACGTTTCGGCCCGGTTAAAGATTTCATCAAACATCTTGAATTGTTGGTTGTCGAGACTTCGTTCTATGTTTTAAAGATACTGAATGAACTTTGAAAGACTTAATTCAGTAAGATATTTTTATACTGTTCTGTAAAAAAATGGGTCACTGGGAAATTACTTAAGATTTTAGCAAAGGCTCTAGATAGTTGAAAAGCCATATATAAAAATGCTGTGCTTATACTTGTTCGAGCTTTGTTCTGATAAAAAAAAAGACTGTATTCTCCTTATGGACTTCGACGACATTTATCAAAAGCAAAAAAGCATTCGAAAAGGATTAAAGATATTTCAAAATTTCATCCACAACAATTTAGCGACAATGCACATATTTAACCAATCCTTGTCCAATATTCGGGTATATTCTGGAACTTTCGATATTTTCTATTGGCCTCTCTCTCTCTCGTCATATTTTTTGACGTCATGTTTTACAATATTAGATTTTGTCAGTATATGTAGATGAAAAGCTGTTCTGCGTCAGCTCATTTGTAGAATGATGTCATAATATCATTACCCCCGGGTATCCGTTTAAAAATCGACAACAGTATATCCTGAATTCGGTCGATACCCAGTGCGTAACGAGTTGGATATCGATGAATGGCCTCTGAAGAAATTGAGGTTCAAGACGACTGTCAAATGGAAACACGTAATGCTATCCGTGACATTATGAGTTATCAGAAACTAGAGGAGAATTTAATTCGGTACTTTACGCTTAAAATGCTGAGCTAGAGTAGATGAGCATACAAAGTCCTCGTCGAGGCATCACTTCTTGGATTTAAAACCGTAACAGGCTTTCGTCCACGCACCGAACTTTTGCTCACACCCACACCCTAAAAAATATATATCTTTTAGCAAGAGAAAAAAACCAGTAAGGACAAGTATTTCTTTTTCGCCTATGATATACGTCTTAGTCTTGTTATGTCAAATAAGATAAGGACATTTCGTATGATATATCTAATATGGATATCCATCATAAGTGATGAAAGCAAACGCTATAATTTCTATATATACTCGAACACAAAATGGAAGAACAGTGTAATATTTCTTCATATTATTTACCATGATGAAAACAACATTGAGTATAACTCTCGTATTTTCACTGAATCTGATTGCTTTACACAAAACCTTTGCTATGCCGGTCAATGATTGGGAAGAAGATTTATTCACAACAGATTCTATTGTTTTTACAGATTCCACCAGGTATATATCTGTTCTTCTTTCGATAGATCAATTAAATCAGATAAACACTCTTCCATAGTACCGAAGAAGAAAATGTATCGAATATTACAATCGATGCAAATGGAACTAATATGACTGATATAGATATAACAACGGTTTCGTCTATTGAGAACATTACTGAAACTAATAATTCAAGTGAAGGCATTACGTATGGTAGGTCTATCAAAGATATCATGTGAACTTGTTTGGCTTTGAGATCACTTGTTTTATTTTCTAATAGAAATCACAACGCCAATATCAAATCAACCAGAATCGAGTGATAGAATTAAATTTCAAGTTGTTATCAACCCGGCTACAATTGAAGTACAACGTGGACAAACTTATGAACTTATCTGTAGTGTTTATGGTGCTGATGCAAGTACACTTATTTATTGGATTCAGGAAGAACCAGAACGAGTAAAGTCTTTTACATGTATTCATATAATCATATATTGATAGAGAAAGATATCGCATGTGTTCCAAATGAGCTTTTCTCTTTTCCCGCTTTGAAAAAAAGTTTGACAACGTACTCAACATATTCATTTCAATAGAAGTAATCCATAATGCCATTTTTAATACATCATCTGACAATAGAAAAACATGTTTGCTTTCATTACTTTAGCGTTATGCTCTTACCGATACAGATGATAAATATATCACAGGATCGCAGGTATTATTACGAACACGTATTACTCTGGATGATCCGAGTAAAATTGGAAAATATACATGTATGGCGCAAAATGTAGGAGGAAGTAGTGATTCCGCTCTTCTTACTATGCATGAACAAACTAATTTTCACTACGATTATCCAAGACCAGAAAGCACACCAGATGGTAAGTTTTAAGAAACAATAGATAAATGTAACTTGATTTAACTTTTTCTTTCCTAGTGTATCGTGCTGCGCAAGATTTAAGAATAACTGCACCGGAGGTAGTTGATGGAGACTACGTGGAGATTCAATGTGAAAATGCAGCATCGGAAGATGAAGGAAAAATTCAGTGGTATTTTAACAATCGAGTATGTATATACATTTGCATTGAAACAAACTTTTTTTTCATTTACAAACTTGACTATTAAGCTTCTTCATGATGAGGCTCCACTTTATCCACGTGGAAAAACTCTTCATATTCGTCCTATTTCAAGATCTTACTTGGGAAACTATCGTTGTTCAATTCCTGAATCGAACTATAGAGATGCAAATAGTATCATTGAATTTCGAGGTAAATATGCTTCTAATGAAACGAATCCTGGTGTTATCATTTGTTTTGAAGAACAACCATCTCGTCATGACGTTCAACCAGTATTTTATCCATCAACTCCATTATCCATTGAAGAAGGTGCCAATCAATTGATTCAAGCGCCTGCTGGCTATTATCGTGCGTATTGGACACGTCAAGATGGTCAGAATCTACCATCAAATATTTATCAACGAGGCAATGATTTACAAATTACGAACGCGCGTTCAGATCATTCAGGAACTTATTATTGTGAATTATACAATGTTGATGGTACACGTACGACTATTCCTTATGAAATTCGTATTCAACGTAGTTATACACATCATTCATTCGATAGTAAGTAGGATTAGAAGGAAGAAACTTTTCGTTTCTTTCTCTCTTTTAGATCATCTACCAAAAATAACTATTCGTCCGCAATCTATTAATTTAAAAGAAAGTCAACGTATGATTATTCAATATACAATTATAGTGAGTAGAATCTAAACAAAGAAGCAGAATGAACTGATTCTTTTCTAGTCATATGAACCAACTGAAATCATGTGGAAGAAATTAACTGATCAAGGTTATCAACCACTTTCATCGGCATTTACTGTCGAACCTAATCGGCTTGTTCTTCAACATGCGACACCTAATGATGCCGGTGTTTATCAGATTACTGTTCGTAATTCATATGGCGAAGCTCACGAAGAACTGCGTATCAATGTGGAATCACAACATTATGAACATGTTACAGAACCTTATTACCATCAACAGCAGCAGCAGCAAGTTCGCGTCACTGTTCATCCAAACGAGGCCACCGTTGGAGTTAATGAAAAAGCAAAACTTACTTGTTATGTTCAAGGTACTCAACAATATCGAGTGACATGGAGTCGATATGCATATGACACAAGTCTTCCCGATTATGTTCGTGTATGTATTGCTAATCGACAATGATTGAAACGATTGATAATCATGTCTATTTTGAAATAGCAACAAGACAATAGTGTTATAATCACACCGACGACGAATACACCTAGTGAAAAATTAAACTTGCAGTGCCAAGTTGATTTACCAGGTCAAGTTGGAAGTCATCGTGTTTATGCCTCAGTCAATGTTTATGGTAGAGGAAACAAAAAGAAATGACGCTCACCAATAGCTATTTCTTACTTATGTGAACTAAAAGAATAAACAATAACGACTCAGTTTTTCTTTATACTTTCGATTTTTTGTATTCAGTCAATGAATATTTCTATCCAGATTTGTATCTAGATTTTCATGATTTATTCTATCAACAAGATCAAGTTTGACTGATAATCTAGTATTCATTTTACCATTCATACAACAGATAGCCTTAGCAGGATTAAAAGCTTATCAAATTTTAAATAAGTAATCATCGTGAGATGTTTTATTTCTTATGATTCATTTGCATTGTATTGGAGAATTAATGCAGTCAATATACAAGTAACGCTCGTCTAGCGACTCGCTCAGCTCTTTCTCGTAGAAATCGTGCTTTCAGATATTATACTTTAAAGCTATTATTGGGTATATTAATTTATTTTTAGTGTAGATTAGATATTTTCACAAAAGCAACAATAAATATTTATACCAAATGTTAAATAGAGCATTAAATATTGTGAAGAAATATCAGTACAGTTAGGAAGATTATGGATGATTACATCAAAAAACGAAATTAAGAAAACACGATAGGCAATATCTGATGCAATGAGAGAAAAGAGACAGTTACTACAATAATTAAGATAAATGTGAAGCAAGAGATAAAGAAAATAAGCATGCATGAATAATTATTTTAAGGTAATTTCAAAGTATAATACGTTTTATATGCTTGCAATAACACTAGACTCTTAGCAAAGTTCATCTAAACGTTTCAGTTCAGCATCTTGCGCAGAAGAAGGTTGAACTTGTAGAACCTTCATGTGGAAAGGTCGAAGGATAACTATATCATCCCCTTTCTTCACTCTACTGAGTGGTGCATATATCGATGCTACTTGCAGTGTCCCAGGTGGAACTTGAAGATCGACTACGATTTTGTTCATTGTGAGTCCTTGCGCCTTGTATGTAGTTATAGCGAAGGCAGGTACAATTCCCGACCCCAAAATGTCTTCGGTAATTTTTTATAAAAAAAATTGTTTTTTACAAAAAAGTCGCCCTTTATATAAAAAACTAATCCATGTAAACATTTCAAAAAAAATAGCGCCAGATTCGAGTTCATCGACCCAAATAACTCCTTTGTCAAATTTTATAAAAAAGCTTTTTTTTGTAAAAAATTCGGCCTTTGTCTAAGCAAATTTTTTTTTAGGAAAAATTTCCAAAAAATAACATAAGATTCGAAGTCTCCGCATCGAAATACATCTAGAAATGTCTTTTCGCAAAAATCGATTTTCAATGTTTTTTTTTACCCTGCGGACATACAAGCAAGTAAGCAATTTATGTTTCTAAGACTCTTCTCTACGAGAAAGAGAACAATAGTAGAGAACGACAAAAATAAGACTTATCAGTAGATTGTATAAGCAGCGAGAGCATCTTTGTATTTGGTTTTTTCCCCATTATACTAAGAAGAAATACCCCTACTGTGTATCGTGCAGCTACCTTCATACAGATATTTTTGCTGAATAAAAAAGGGAGCCTTCTCTATCGGTGCAGGTGAAAGGAGAAAGTAGAACTAATCATTCTTTCTCATCGTATCATATATTGTCGATGTAGGTGTTTCTTTACTTCATTTCACGAGCAGGTAGAGTATGAACAGGGAGCTGTGTTGTTTTGTATCGCTGTTTATTCAGTAGTTTTGCCTTTGATATTCCAAGCAATTTACAGCTTCAGAGATAAGGGGAAAACAAGATTTAGTTATTCCTTGTGATGGCACCTCGGATAGATAATACATTTTTGCAGCATATGGAAAGTAGTGGCAATGATTGAATAATTTTTTTGTAGAGGGCTTCTCGAGTTCTGTATTTGTTTTATTATCGTAGCGTAAGATATAAGTGATGTTGTAGTTTTCCATGATGTTTCATGAATAGAAGAAGAATATCGTTCGAGCGAAATTTGTTATACTATTAAGTTTAGTGTAGTGAAAGATCCCATTAAACAGTTAGACCGCTTAAGATTCAATCTTTTGGTTTCATACGAAAGCAAAAAGATTTTGACTGACTCTACCAAACATAGAGTTTGCAAAGGTAATGATTTGAAGCGTGCTTCACCGCGTTCAGATCGTTTTTTGGGTATCTCAGAAGTTGAATAGTATTTCTTCGAGTATATTGACGTATGTTAAAATAAAATCGAGCATTATTGATCATATTTCTGCGTTNTGCATGAATAATTATTTTAAGCTAATTTCAAAGTATAATACGTTTTATATGCTTGCAATAACACTAGACTCTTAGCAAAGTTCATCTAAACGTTTCAGTTCAGCATCTTGCGCAGAAGAAGGTTGAACTTGTAGAACCTTCATGTGGAAAGGTCGAAGGATAATTATATCATCCCCTTTCTTCACTCTACTGAGTGGTGCATATATCGAGGCTACTTGCAGTGTTCCAGGTGGAACTTGAAGATCGACTACGATTTTGTTCATTGTGAGTCCTTGCGCCTAGTGGCGGCGCCAGGGGTGGGCTCAAATAGCCTGAGCCCACCCTAGTCTGGGTTAAGTCGGGCTAAGCCCACCCTAGGGAAAATTCCTGGCGCCGCCGCTACTTGCGCCTTGTATGTAGTTATAGCGAAGGCAGGTACAATTCCCGACCCCAAAATGTCTTCGGTAAATTTTTATAAAAAAAACTGTTTTTTACAAAAAAGTCGCCCTTTATATAAAAAAACTAATCCATGTAAGCATTTCAAAAAAATAGCGCCAGATTCGAGTTCATCGACCCAAATAACTCCTTAGTCAAATTTTATAAAAAAGCTTTTTTTTGTAAGAAATTCGGTCTTTGTCTAAACAAATTTTTTTTATCAAAAGTTTCCTAAAAATAACATCAGATTCGAAGTCTCCGCATCGAAATACATCTAGAGATGTCTTTTCGGAAAAATCGATTTTCAATGTTTTTTTGACCCTGTGGACATACAAGCAAGTAAACAATTTATGTTTCTAAGACTCTTCTCTACGAGAAAGAGAACAGTAGCAGAGAACGACGAAAATACGACTTATCAGTAGACTGTATAAGCCGCGAGAGCATCTTTGTATTTGGTTTTTTCCCCATTATACTAAGAAGAAATACCCCTACTGTGTATCGCGCAGCTACCTGTATACATTTATCTTTGCTGAATAGATAGGGAGCCTTCTCTATCGGTGCAGGTGAAAGAAGAACTAATCATTTTTTCTCATTATATGATCAACTGTCGATGTAAGTATCTTTGTATTTGGTTTTTTCCCTATTATACTAAGAAGAAATACCCCTACTGTGTATCGCGCAGCTACCTGCATACATTTATTTTTGCTGAATAGATAGGAAGCCTTCTCTATCGGTGCAGGTGAAAGAAGAACTAATCATTTTTTCTCATCGTATCATAGATTGTCGATGTAGGTGTTTATTTGCTTTATTTCACAAGCAGGTAGAGTATGAACAGGGAGCTGTGTTGTTTTGCATCGCTGTTTATTCAGTAGTTTTGCCTGTGATATTCCAAGCAATTTATAGCTTCAGAGATAAGGGGAAAACAAGATTTAGTTATTCCTTGTGATGGCGCCTCGGATAGATAATACTTTTTTGCAGCATATGGAAAGTAGTGGCAATGATTGAATAATTTTTTGTAGAGGGCTTCTCGAGTTCTGCATTTGTTTTATTGTCGTAGCGTAAGATATGAGCGATGTTGTAGTTTTCCATGATGTTTCATGAATAGAAGAAGAATATCCTTCTAGCAAAAGTTGTTTTACTGTTAAGTTTGGTGTAGTGAAAGATCCCATTAAACAGTTAGGACGCTTAAGATTCAACCTTTTAGTTTCATACGAAAGCAAAAAGATTTTGACTGACTCTACCAAACATAGAGTTTGCAATGGTAATGATTTGAAGCGTGCTTCACCGCGTTCAGATCTTTTTTTGGGTATCTCAGAAGTTGAATAGTATTTCTTCGACTATATTGACGATCGTAAGAACTTTTACTTGTGTAATACTGTTGGAAAATTTATAAAATATCATGAAATTATAAAATTTGACTTGTGATATGAGAATATATACAAAATAAACTTATAGAAGGCTACTGTAAAATATGCTACGGTCGGCTCCATTACTTTTGGTATACGCTAGCTACATGAATACTATTAACATTTGTTTTATGATTACAAGTTGAAGAGTCGCTAGTTTGGAGCAATGATTCCTTTTATAAGTACCTATTTATGGTTGACTGGCCATGAAAAACGAATGAGAAAGAGTGACACAAGTGTTTTTCATTCATATACATAACTCTGATGTTATCTTTCAATAAGCACTTTTTTATATAGATATTATAAAACTGAAGTGTTTTCATTGATCATCAACGCGTAGTTTAATCTATACTTACGAAGAAACAAAGCCGAACACATGAAGTCCTTTTTCTATGCCATAGTGGCTCTCGTTATTGTTGCAACAATTGCGGCTAGGTCTTCGGATAGAAATCGTCTCTTGCGTCGTCTTAAATTCACTTCACTCAATCATATCGGCAGGTCAAATGAACGCAGAAATATGATCAATAATGCTCGATTCTATTTTAACGCACGTGAAACATCTGGTAAGTTTTGTTCGATTACACAACTAATTCTATAAGGCACGATACCGGGAAAAAATAATGACTATTCTTTTGGCTCCTTTCCACTCAACAAATCTATTAGTGGAAACAAAAATCTCGAAACTTGACAATATTCTTGATATAGTACTGACTAAAATCTCCTATGATTCTTTATTTTAAACACATCAATATATAATAGAAAATGACTCGAAGAGATTCTATTATAGTGTTCTCGGAAATGATTTGTGCTGCCACAGCAATATAATCATGTATATTCTGTTATTTTAAGCCATGATTGTGTGATATTTTCTATAACTGTACATATTTTTAACTATACATTTGTAATTACACTTTTAGCACCTAAAACACGATGTGGTGAAATACTGGTAGATACAATAATTCGAGACGCAGATACATATGACAGAAATCCATTGTTCTTAACAACAGACACAGCTGAAGATTGTGGCAATCATTGTGAATCATTGCCAAATTGTGTCGCATGGACTTATCATGTCGCTACTCTTGATTGTTATCCCATGGTTCATATACAAGAAACGCCTGGAACTTATATTGGCTATAAATCAGGATTTTGCAATGGAAAATCAGGTGAGCTCTCGAATATTTACTTTTGGAACACTTATAACCACCACACAATACTACACACCAGCAAATAGTCGTTAAACATCTCAACACTAACATTTGCTCGAATTTATTCACAGGATCCTTCGAAGCTCTTTTGGGCATATCTCATGAAAACGTTAATACTTTCAAGTATTTTGACTATAAAGCATAAACATATAGACTCATCTGCGTCTAATCAAATGGCATTTATGATGAAATCGTACTGAGAGATGCTTACGATTGTCGTTAACAAACAAATTTATTTCTTTTAAATAGTATATACTATGTAAGAGTGCTAATTTATAATGAAATATACTTTAATATTTTTTTCTTGATCACATCGAAATATTTATACTTTTTCAATGTCATTTTAGCAAAGCAAGAAGCAGAGTGTACAGAAGTTGTGCACGATCAATCATTTATTCATCGTGTAGGAAATCTTGAAACTGTTGGCTATTACAAATACCAAAAAGTTTTAGACACAGCCGAAAAATGTCGAGACTATTGTAATTCAATACCGGAATGTCTTGCCTGGTTGTATGATGATACTACACATGTTTGCCATCCCGAAACAACTGTAAAACCATTAGCAAGACAGTCGACTGGTTCAACATCTGGATTTTGTAATAGACAGCCAGGTAAAATACTGCATACTTTTCTTATGGTATATTTCAGAATGATGCACTTTCTACATCAAACAATAAGTGAATTAAAAGAATTGATTATCAGTTTGTTATTTTTTTAAATAACGAGACGTACTGTAAAGTAGTCATTCAACAATGCATAAAAGTTCTATTTTATTGATATGCGTATAGATGCTATTTGGCAAATATACGAAAGTTTAATATTTTGATCTGATAATTTGCTTTTTTTATTTTCAAGCTGAGACTCAAGAACATTTTAACTAATATGCAACTAAATGATAGAACCATAGGATAAAGTTAAAAAGTTTATTGAGATAAAATCTTGTGTAGTATAGAAGAGTATTGATTAGGTAACGAAATTATCAAACTGTTTCTAAATACTATAGAACGAGCGAGAGACTAGAAGGTTTTGCCGCCGATATTATTGATGTCTCAAAATATGCGGTGAAATCAAGTATTTTATTATGCTTACAATTTTCGTCACATCGCTATATCTGTTGAAAAGCGGATGTTGACAATGACAGAATTTCGACAAAATTCGCCCCATACATTTCCTACGTGCTTTAATAAGATCAGTAGTGTACAATCTTGACAGCATTCTTCATAAGATTTTAACTGGAATTGCGTACGGTTTTGTATTTAAAATACGGTAATAACAACTGAGCAAGATTTGAATATATCTTAGAAACAAAATTGACTGATGAGATATGGAATCTGAAAAGATCTGTACACATGTATTGAGACAAGTAATCATGTCATCTACATTCCGTTATAAGAAGATATGATTGTTTGATATTTGTCATAATTCTGTGTACATCTAACCCGTAGACGAGAGAATCATATCGTTCTATGACAGGATTACTTTCGCAACCAAAATATTACGTATCGTATAATATACAGATATGATTGAAAAGGAAGACAAGTATTCATGATCGAAGAACGTGCTTCTACTTCGATTTTTCCAAATATAATAAGGACAAATTGTTATCAAATCAAATGAACCGATCGTAGTCCAGCATGTCTTTCTACAATCTATGAAAGACTCCATCATACCTAGGATTTAACTATATGCACTTATGATTTTAGCTGTACCAACCGCAAGACGATGTAGTGAAACGATCGTAGATAAAAAAATTGAAGATGCCGATACATATGAAAATGGGAATCCATTATTTTTAACAACTGATACAGCTGAAGAGTGTGGGAATCGCTGTGAATTATTGGCAAACTGTGTGGCATGGACTTATCGTAGCGCTACTCTTGATTGTAATCCAATGGTCCATGTGAAAGAAGAGCCAGTACCTTATAGTGGTTATAAATCAGCATTTTGCAAAATAAAACCAGGTAAGCTACCGAATATTTATGCTAGCAATATCTATAACAGCTACATAACACTAGGCACAGTAACGAATAGTTGATGGACATCTCAAATTGAGACTGTCATACTCATATAGATCTATTCATTTTGAATAGTATTTGTTATGTATGAATACGAGCTCGTGATAGCCTATGCTATGATATATTTTTCTTTAATCACATCAAACTATTGGTATTTTTCTTATATCCTTTTAGCAAAACAAGAAGAAGCATGTACCGAAGTTGTGCAGGATCAAATAATGCTATATCGAGGAAAGTATGACGACAATGATTTTGCTAAATATGCGAAAACTTTGAACACGGCAGAAGAATGCAGAGATTATTGTAATTCAACACCGGAATGTCTGGCCTGGATGCATGAACATCTCGATAACACGTGCTCTCTAAAAACAGCTGTCAAACCAGATGCAGAATATGCGCGCTACTACACATCAGGATTTTGTAATAGAAAACCAAGTAAGTGGTCGAATATATATTTTAGTAATATTTATAACATGTTTTCCTTAATCACACCAATACACTTGTACTTTTGTAATATCATTTTAGCAATAATATTAGCAGCATGCTCAAAAATTGTGCACGATCGAACTTTAGCATATCGAGAGGGCTCCGACGAGGCTGATATTAAAAAATACCGTAAAGTTTTAAACACAACTGAAGAATGCAGAGACTATTGTAACTCAATATCGGAATGTCTGGCCTGGGAGTATAATGATGTCGGTCACGATTGTGACCTGAAAACAGTGGTGAAACCAGAGGCACAATATTTTCCTGGTGCTATATCAGGATTTTGTAATAGAAAACCAGGTAAGATATAGAATATTTTCTGAAATGTATATCGGTACACGGATTAGAAATGAATCAATGAATGCTATTTATAATAACATTCGATATTTAAAGTTTTTTTACTGATCGTAGTTGCACACTTCATATGAAAATAGAGCTGATGACATGAAGAATGTTCGCGAAATAGATCATCTTTCAACTGTTTTTGTTCAAGCTATTCAAATGAGAAAATTTTCAGAAATAGTTAGTTTTTATTGAAATATACAATGTTTTGGTTCATTATACGACTTTTACAGGTTTTCTGTGTCCAGTTTGGCCGTAAGGGATGAGTTAGTGGCTTCTGAAAGGTCATTTCTCCATAGTACAAAAGATTTCAAGAAGTCTCTGAGAACCGTGATCTGTCGAATCATTAGTATCCTATGTGAAAATGCGTCTGTCTCTAATGATGTTACTGTCTTTCGTAAGGACAATATATTACAAATACAACATTTGTCACAGATATAGTCCAGCTCATGGATGATAAAACTAATAAATTCGATTTCGAGAATATCAGTTCTTTGTCAAGGTTCAGATCTATTCATAGATCCTACGCCAAAACTAATCGCACTTCTATATTAACGATTGCTGTAACATCTAAAATATGCTGAGTTGTTCACAACTAGTTTCTAATCATAGGAATTACCACTAAGAAAATTTAAAAGAAAAAGCTGTTAGTGAATCACTCATACCCTAAAATGATGGCATAAGTGTAATATTTACGAGGTCTCAGCAGTTAGAAAACGCTTTTCGTACTGTGTATGGTAAGCTCATAATATCCGAAGCGATCTTTCAAACTATTATTGTAAAGCATTTTTTATAACAGAACTTGTTCTGCGAAGTGTAATAGAACAAAAAAGAATGAATAGTAAATCGATTAATTATGTATATATATATATATCGAATTCATTTATTTATTTCTACTTTTAGCAACATAAATCATTGATTGTTCTAATAATGTTCAACGCATGGGGCCGTATTATATTCAATAAACTGAAACAAATAAACAAACATTTTCCATTAGTTTCTTATTTCACAATATTTTTACTCATTAATCTACTGTAGTTTCTTTATTTAATGTACGCAACCAATTTCTTATTTTCAATGCTTTTACTTTTTCTTTAGTGCTCCGCTTTGTCTCGAATTTTTTTCCTACGTAGCTAGAATAAGATAAATTAAAAATCCATTAGTTTCTGTTGGGAAATGTGGAGGAATCAAAGAATTATAATGAGTTTCTTATCCACTTTTATGAATTTGTTTTTCTTACAGGACAAAAATAATAGACATTCATTACTCATCATTGGAATTAAAACCTAAAAGTTGTGTGAACATTTTACATTAGCTACACGCAGACGCTTCCGCAGCTATTGCCACGATAGTTTCGTTTGGATATGCTACAACACGTAACTCGTCAGAATTTTGATAGAGCTCATTGATAGCAAATGACAATTGAATGCCGTAACTGTTAGAAATCATTGTTGAACATTAGATAAATATAAATATTCGATTTCATTTCTCGTTATGGTTTGAAATGGTATTATTTTATTATCAAAACGAACATTTTGAATTTTCTTTGCACCTACGATGTAAAGATGGTTGAGTGATAATGATAATTAACCGGTTCAAATAGTATGCCGAAAGAACGAGTTTAGACAGACTATAATGTTACATAATCATTTCCTTTTCTCCGTATTAAATTTTTATTCCTACAATATTTGAAGGAAAAATTTAGACATAGAAAGAAAAAACAACAACAGAACATTCTGTGTCATACGAGTATATATGTTATTTTATGATACATACAAAAATCTGTACAACGCTACATACCATTATGAGTTGAAGCATTTTCTCGTAAGAGAATCACGAAAAAATTGAGGGAAAGAGTATGGATGTGGATATCACTGTTCTGTCAACTGTATCTATCACGCTTATCTATTAGGTTGGCCAAAAAATTCTGCAACACTTGCAGAAAAGTTCATTCTTATGCGCAAGTTTATTTAGAAACAATAACAACTACTCTTCAAAATAAAGGCCATCGTCTTCAACAATCTTCTGCCACCGATCTGCAAGCATCGGATTTGATTGAAGTACCATTCTGCCGGCTTCGAATCGAAGAACGCCTGGCGCGGCGTCGGAACTATAAGCTGGGTGTAGCAAGACCTCGACTTCATCCAGATCATCAAACTTCTTCTTTGTTGTTTTGGCGTTGTCTTGCTGGAATAAAGCACGTTTCCAACGAAAGAGGGTCGGGTACTTCGCCTTCAGTTTGTCATAGACACGATCCAGTGGTTGGCAGTAGAGTTCGGCGTTCACGGCACGACCATCCGGAACCAATTCAAAGTGAAGCACACCCTCAAAATTCCACCAGACGCAAATCATCACCTTCTTGCCGAAACGATCTTGACCTCGCAGCACCCATCGCTTCCGCCGGTTGTGATTGACTAAGTAGACCCATTTTTTATCCGAAGTCACAATACGCTTCCAAAAACGATCATCCAATGGATTTTCCAGCAATTGACGGCAGACTTCAACACGACGCTTGGTTTGGGCTTCGGTCAACTCGTGTGAATCCTGGCGAGGCTTCTTGTGCACAAAATCCATTTGATGCAGGTGATTGAGCACAGCCTGATGGGAAGAGACTCCAAGAACCGATGCTAATTCAAGGCTGTTCGATGAAGGCTCATCTTGCAAGGCTGCTCGCAAATCTTCATTGTCCAAGTTTGATGGTCGGCGGGAATGTGGTTGATCTTCAAGACTAAAGTCACCAGAATCGAATCGTTTGTACCATCGAGAAACAGTTGTGTAGTGGACGCTTCCTTCGCTTTCAGCATCACAAATCTCTTCCGCAGCGTCTCTTGTCGAAAGTTGTCGCTTCCAACATTAGCGTATCAAGACTCGAAGTTCGATTTTGTCCAATGTCATCTAAAACTTTGAAAATATAGATGAATCCGGAACTCGATAAATACAAAAACTTTGCATAAAACATGCAAAAAATTAACAAAACTGTCCATGAAAATCCAGTTTTTCGCAAGTGTTGCAGAACTTTTTGTCCATCCTAGTATCTTCTAAAAACAACAGTAATCGAGTTTGTTCCCTCGACTGAAAGGAAGGTCCTGTCGAAAAAAGTGGTCCGAAAACCGAAATTCGTTTGTGAGTATGTCTGTCGCAGATCAAAGGTCAAAGGTCAAATTACATTTTTTTTGAAAACATTCAAAACTTCATAAAACACGCTTTCGAAGGGTGTTTTGACACTGAAAGTAGGTTGAGAGGATGAGGACATGTGAGATAGGGTCGATGTTAAACGTACGTTGAGCCCTGAGGTCAACGGCCCATAAGAGAATTTCATTACGAGTGAAACAAAGATTAGGTAAAAGTTTTTCATAACTCCAAATGTGCAAGGAAATGTATCATACATCGAAACTGAAAGATTCATTCTCAGAATGTAATGTAACTTGTATTTGTGATAGTAGGAGAATTTCCTTTGAAACGCAAGTCCAAAATACAATTCTGATTATTTTGCTTCTGTTGGTGTGACTATAGAAAACAGACAGCGAAGAATCTTGTATAAATTATTGTTAGTATTCTTTTTTGCTAGCGTACCGAATCACAAATTGGACACCAGAAGAGGATGTGTCTCACACTCAAGTATAATAATGCAGAGAAGAAAAGCAATGATCGTAGACTAAATGAACGAAATTTCGATATGACAACGTCTCTAGTTCACACTTAGAAGCATTTTGACACCTTTGGATTTGAAATTTACATGAACACTCGTCTTTCTTCACTTAAGTCTTCATTTTATTAGGAAAGGGAGAACACGTATAAGGTATGAAGCGGCAGCACGACCGAAGATTTCTGCACCATTCTATTGTTTAGAATGTTAGATAATCTGTTAAATATGTATTTTATAGAGAACCGTTTCTTCTTCCAAGCTGTAGGCTTTCAACGATACCATAAAACTTTCTTTTAGACCAGCGTCAAAAAGAAACCAAAGGGTTAGTTTTGAGCGAGCTGTGCAGAAGNGTATACTTGCGAGTGAGTAAAAGGGTTCTGAAGGGACATCATTTCAGTGAGGATGAACAGAAGAGTTTTGGAAGCAGTCGAATATTATTCAAATAATTGAAAAAAAGACTGCAAAAATAGTTGAATAGTTGAGTCGAAATTTCGAGTTTCGCATTACTAAAAGACGCAAGGATCATAGTAGCTATTCATAGCGGACTACTGTTTCATGTGTGAAAAATGATCATGAATAATGGACATTACATAAATAACAAGAACGATGACAGTTCTCGAGATATCATTTGGAAGCGCAAGTTTTATCTGAAGTATAACCCAATCAGTCGAGGGTAATGCGAGTCTCCCTCGACGAGCGTTATTTATTTCTTTTACTTCAATAAATTGTATGTATGGTAATATCTGGTGATAATTTGAAATCAGCTATCTTGAAAAAGCTATCGGAAAGACATTCTGCTTATTTCGTGATTGTTGAGATCTACACATTCTTAACGAAAAAGAAAAATCTTTTTGTTTTGTATTTTCGTGCTAGAGGTAACTTATAATTATTCATTCTTTCATCAGAAAAGAATCGAAAAAAGCAATTATACAAAATGAAAAGAACGATGACTCTTACATACTTTTTTTACTGAATGTTCTTATTCAGGTGAATTCATACGTTATATACTTTGAATTAAAAGGAAAATATGGCTGATGCTGATACAAATGTCAAATTAGAATCGGATGTATTTGTATTATTGTAGTATGTTTTCTTATTTCTGGATTTACTTTTGCAAGTGGAATAGGTCTTCATTATTACGTGGGTACACTCATAGAAACAACATGTTTAGTAACAAATTCATGTGTAGAAAAATGTGGCGAAAGATCATTTGGATCAAAAGAATCTTTAGTAGAATATTGTTATCAAATTAATTGGTTTGTTGAATATAAATATAATGGGCAAAAGTTAGAATCTAAAATTGTATTGAAAAATTGGATAAACTACAAGAATGACAATGATGATCGACAAGTACAACATCGTTTAGAAGAATATCAAGTAATTAATTATGAAATATAAAAAATGTAAAAGAGATTTCTCTCTATAATGGTTCAAAATATCCATGTTATTATTTATCATCTATTCATTTTCAAAATTTTTATGGCAACAACCAAAAGATCCATTCTTTCGTTTAATGATCATTGGAAGCATATTTTTCTTGTTATCTATCGTTTTTATATTCATTTTTATTTACATCGAACGCAAATGTACTCATGTTACTCCTGGTTCTAGTAGTGGAAAAACAATTGAATCAGGTAATAGTCACGATGGTGCAAATTCTATCGTGATAGAAGAAGAAAAATTTCACTGTCCAATGAACACAATAACGATTCTTGAATTGTGACATTTGTAATCATAATACGTTCTTGTCTAAAAAAAGAAGTTTGTTTATAAAAACTCATTGGATAAGAAATCGATGATATATCTATTCGCTATCCATCAAATACCAATATTCAACCACATTTTACTCTACGATACTACACAATTATTTTTCGTTCTATTTTTTCTTTCTTATCACGTGCACGTACATTAGCAAATATTTTCCATTTCTCTCCATAACTATAGAAAAATAAATATCGTTTGTAAGTAAAATTCGAAATGTTACAATCATTTATTCGAACAAGAACAAGATACATTTTATCAATACGTAATCCCATTCAATTGGTTCAAATAAAAACACTAACGTATCAGAAACGTATACAATCATATTATGATGATGGTATCAATTTAAAACAACAATCGATTGAAATTAATCCTATCGAACGTATTCGTCGATGTTCACTTCATAAAGATGATGATATTTGGACATTATATAAAACAATGTGTCCGGATGTTCGGACATTAGGTGATGCTTTAGATGAAGGTTGTAGGGTCTCGAACAATGGGCCATGTATAGGAACTATTCAAACATCGAATGGTGTTCCTTCTTTACAATGGTTTTCTTATTCGACAGTGATTGAACGAAGTCAGTCTATTGGTACATATCTATGGACAAGAACGGAACTTATACCATCAAAATCTAAAGTGGCTATTCTATCATCCAATCGAGCGGAGTATTTATTCTGTGAACAAGGTTGTTATATGTATGGATTTATCGTTGTTAGTATTTATACTACATATGATGATGTAGCTATTCAGAATATTTTACAGCGAACTGAAGCTGAAGTACTTATTGTTGATAATTTGGCACGTATTCAATCCATTAGAGATAAATTGTTGAATAATAATCAAATAAAAGAAATAATTGTTATGGATGATATAATCTATGATGCTATAAATGAAAAAAGTAAAATTCGATCGGTATCATCAATATTCAAAACAGTGAAACCTACGGATAGAAATGAAAGACCAATGATTGCTCCGAATGATACTGCAACGTTCATCTTAACAAGTGGAACAACAGGTGATCCAAAAATTGCAATGCTATCTCATGAGAATCTATTAGCAGCAACAAAAGGTAATCTTATTCGTCTATATCAAGCGAATATAAAGAAACCAGTAACTGATCGACATTGTTCATTTTTACCAATGGCTCATATATTTGAAAGATTTGTCATTTTACAAATTCTTCTCAAAGGCACAGAAGTGATATTTTGTCCAACACCAGAAAAACTCATCGAATACTTCTCGATCGTTAAACCTACTCAAGCATCTGTGGTTCCTCGTATTCTTAATAAAGTTTATGATGCAATTATGAGTGATATGAAGAAAAGTAAACTAAAACATTTTCTTGTTCAACAAGCTTTACACGAACAATTACCGTTTCTTTCACGTTTTATTTTTCAAAAAGTAAGAAATCTCTTTGGTGGTGAGCTTAAAGCAATGATTACTGGATCGGCACCAATTAAATCCGATGTCATGCATTTTTTCCGTATTGCACTCGATATACCTATTATAGAAGGATATGGACAAACTGAATCCTGTGCTGCTGGTGCAACAACACATCCAGTCGATATATCCTATGGAACAGTTGGTTCTCCTGGACCGAACGTTGAAATCAAACTAATTGATGTACCTGATACAAACTATCGAAGTGAAATGAATCAAGGAGAAATTTGTCTGCGAGGACCAACGATCTTCAAAGGTAAACTGTCAATTAAGATAGATATCATGTTGGAAAATATTTTGTTTTCTATTTTGACAGGTTACTATGGTGATCAGGAGAAAACACGCGAAACAATTGATAAAGATGGTTGGCTACATACAGGTGATGTAGGAGAATGGACCAATCATGGAGCATTACGAATTATTGATCGATCAAAACATATATTCAAGTTAAGTCAAGGAAAATACATTGCACCAGAACGTCTTGAAGATGTTTACATTCATTCTCCATGGGTTGCTCAAATCTTTATTGATAGTATTTCAAGTGAAACAACAGTAGTCGCTATAATCGTACCAGATGAAGAATATGTACGAAAAAATTTCAAATCAAAGATAATAGATTCTGTTTCATTCGTTGATCTATGCAAAGATGAAAATCTGAAAAAAATGATTTTAACCGATATCATTCGATTGGGAAAAGAACAAAAACTTCCTTATTATGAAATACCAAGTAATATTTATCTTCACGATCAATTATTTACACAAAAGAATGAATTATTAACAATAACATTCAAAATACGACGAGGAAATGCTCGAAAACAATTTCATCCCATTGTTAAATCATTGTATAATACATCTCCAAATTACACATAATAAAAATAATGTATTCCTTATATACGGATGAGGATGCGATCAGCTACCAAAAAAAACTAGAGTTTTTTCACATTTTTCGACAATAAAGTCGTAAAGTGACTAGATATTAGTAAAAAAGATTCCAGAAGAATCCACACAACGTATCTTAAAGGATGGGTGTGGGTGCGTGTGTGTAGAAAAAAAACATTTCTTTCTTTTGCTCTCAGACACGCCCACGTTTTGTGCACACCTATACAACCTAATAAGATAACGCCTCTTTGAACTTTCCAACATGAAAAGAAAAGCCTTCATGAAAAATTAACGGTAGCTTGGAAAAATTTTCTCGACGAAAACTACTTACAAAAAATGAAGAAAAAACCAACCGATTAATAAAATTCACCGTTTATCATACGTGTTGGATTTCTTTTCTTTGACTGCTCTTCAACAAAGCTACTTTCACTTTAACATAAACATTATCAAAGCATGAGATGCTTTTACGAGTTACTTCTTTCGATTACACCATTCTTCTCTTGATCACGAATATGCACACTGTTTTATTTTAAAGTAACAGTATTCTTTCGAAACAAAATCGACAACTACATATTATTGGTTTTGCTCGTCAGTGCCAACGAATTGTATCTGTATCTCCTTGAGATAGTTAAAGCGGGGAAGGAAATGTGAAGTTTGACGAGCGACAATAGAAAGCTTTCTCTTTCTAATAAGGTTTTTTCCTTTGTCTGTCTTTGTTTACTTGAGTTCAATAAAACATTACGTAGATATTTTCTTCTTACTTGTTTCTTGATAAGATGACAGATGCACTGGCGAATTTTCTCTTTTTTCTTCTTATTTCTTTGACAGTAAATCGGATTAAAAAGATGATAATAGTGGACGATCTGTTTCTATTTGTGTTTTGATTTGTTTCAAAAAGAAAGAAATAGTGAAGTGGGCATATTGCCACAACCCAGTGAAGGTTAAGCAGCATCTCTGAAACAAATAGTTATTTTCGAACTAATCAAGGTGAAAAACTCTGATAAATTGTACAAATGGATATATCCGTTCTCGGCGCTCACCGATTTATCAGGTTACCAGAATGAGTGTAGATTGGCTGGATCCCGAATATTATAACTGCTTTGTTAAGGAATAAAAGTCATGTTGTAAAAAGAATACTTTTCTTTTCATACATTCGAACTACTATCGAAATTTTTATAAAAGGCAGGTGGAAGAAATTTTTGTAACTTTTGATTGGAAAGTTATATAGACCTGCGGTTTTCACCATTCGTTAGAGGAGGGTCGGGGGCAGATATCTATGCGGGAAAGTCACCATTCAAAGCTCTTCGTACAGTGGACTCTGGCTGACGAAATTTATCAGGTGTTAGCATTAGCAGACCTTTTTAAGCACTTTTTTTATGATGCTGGTACTCCAACATGCCCACTGCACGTTGGTATCGACGGAATTTTTCTACTTTCCTTCCTGGAAATACCAGTGATATTTTAACATTGAAATTATACGAGGAATTT